CGCTCGATTGGCAAGAGCCATATTCGTCCTGTGCAACTGAACTGAACTGAACTGAACTTCGAGACTTCGAGGTGGCTTCCAGAACTACCGCGCGCACGATCAACAATTGCGCTACAGTTCGTTACACGTTGTCAGATTGAATTCCATTGGAACAGGGTTCTTTTTGTTCCCTTTGGTATTTCTATTCACTTTTGAAAATGGGTGGTGCTTCCAGTTCGCCCATTCCTGGAGGTGGTACGTCGGGGTACCATGTCTTACGTGTAAGAAGTTATTTTCTACTGAATTTTCGTCCAGGTTCAGGAAGGTTCTCCAGGTCACAAAGCTGGTCTCCAGGCATTTTTCGACTTCATTGTATCGATTAACGACACAAGGCTGGTGAGCGCTGTACACTTTAAGGTCTTTTATTTGTATTTACGTTATCTTCAATGTTGCTAGTGCACTAGCAACTTTGATGCTAATGAGTCCTATCTGTATCTCATTTTGGGGTCCTATTTGGGATGTAAGCGGACTCTAATGACGCCCATGGGACGACTGTGCTCACTAGGTGTAGGTTACCACTGTATTGACCTCTAACGCGACCGTTGAACAGCTCAGGATTAATTTTTCAGTTCCTCTGTCTTTTTAAAAACTTGATTGTGAGCGTTGGGTTTTTACTATTTCCTGTACTACTATCGTTATTGGTACTGTCACTCGTTTTAGAATAACGTAATCTCTGTTACTAATATGCCGCACCAACTCCCATCCCATCATCACCTCGGATCGTTCCCATTTCTTAGAAGGGATCTGGCAACGTTTGCGCGAACCACTGCGCGACGATTTTGGTCCCAGCATATGAGTTATCACGATGCGCGTTAGTTTCCGAGGCCAGTGGTGGGTGAAAAAAAGTAAGGGCATTAGGATATGAAAATCCTAACCTGGAAACTTGCTCGCATAGGTCGCGTTAGGTTTCCTAAATGGGGACCTCGAGATTAAAAAATCTTTTTATCACACAAATTTGTGTAGTGAACAGCAGACGGGGCGAACCCTATAGTCACGAAAACCTGCTACTCCGTCATGGATACCGGTAACCTAAGCCCCGGGGCTTTGAGTGGCGAACCACATAACGTCCCGATAGGTTAGGCGTGATAGTGGACTAGACGACGGCAAAGCTGTCTACCACATGGATATTTGTATTTCATGATTGTGGACAAAGTGGTATGCCTGTGTCGTAAACAGTGGCGCTTGAGCACCTATTCAGTATCTTTGCAAACTTAGTCTATATCGAAGTTTCCATTTTCACCTTCGCAATACTGATCTTCCCTTCACTCCTTCATCTAAATGAGCAACCAAAACCGCATAACGAAAGTGCATGAGTGATAGTTTTACAAACTGAACTGAACTTGAAACTAAACCGTTCAGTCAATTGCTGTAGTCCTTTCGTATACATTTGAGTATGATGAACGACGAAAAGGGTGTGGCTGTCACATAAAAACAATTAAATTCTACTTGTTCGCACTCAAAAATGATGAATTCGCATCCAGCTTTGTAGATTGCTTATGCCATTTTCTGTAATTTCGTGTTGTTAGGGTTTCATTGTTCTTTCCACTTTTCTTCCTAGGAGGAAGACAACGATACCATCAAACAGCTGTTACAAAACAACAAAGATAAACCTGTACGATTGACAGTGTATTCAAGTAAAACTCAAACGTGCCGGGAGGTTTTCCTGACACCGAATACCAATTGGGGCGGTCAAGGGCTTATGGGAGTCAGCATTCGCTATTGTTCTTTCGAAGGTGCGAATGAAAACGTGTGGCATGTATTGGACGTAGAGTCAAACTCACCTGCGGCGTTGGCCGGTTTGGTTCCACATTCAGATTACATCATCGGTTCGGATTCTGTTTTGAATGAGGTAAGTCGTTTAACTTGTTCCCTTCTATGCCCACTAATCGCGGTGGAAAATGTGAATACCATAATCTAGTTTCAGTAGAGCAGAAGAAAACAAAAACATAGCAAAACAATATCTTGGCTCTTTCATATCCTAATATAAATATAAATCTTCCCATATTGTTTGACAGAATTCCAGTCAATGGGCCACGCAAGTCACCGTACAATAATCTTCAGCAAAGGTCAGTAATTTGTTCATGGACTGGGTATTACTATTTATCTCAGACCAAAGCAGGTGAATTTTCTTAGGGAATTCAAACCCTGTATCAACCAAAGCTTGACTCACAGCGAAGGGAAAGGGGTATGAAAACCGCAACCCCCAGTGTCTAGTTCATGGGATTATACGCCCTTTCGACGGAGTCAAATGTCCAAAGTGCCCAAAATATTGTAATGCCCAGTCGAGCCAGTAACCATTGCCGGAAAAACAAAGACACGAATATGGTTCGCACTCCTCTTCTTGTTTGGTTTGGAATCAGGGTTTTTCACCAACTTTCCCAAGTTAACTGTCAGTGGTTCACCGATCTGCTTATAGCCCCGTACGCAATACAATATGTTGAAATGCTTCCACCATGTATGACTCATGGAATAGTCCACCTGTGCAACTACCCTCGAATTCTGAAGTCTTCAACTTTCGTCAACAGCAGGCTTTCATGTACTAAATCAAAAGCCTTGCTGAAGTTCCGGTAACAAACCCCGGTCTTATCTCCGTCTATTGTTGCGGTAACATCCTCCAAGAAACAGCAAGTTTGGTAGTCAAGAGCGCTACCCCAAAGAAACCATGTTGAGCTTCTGTCACGAGTACGTTTACTTCTGGATGCTTCACTAGCTTGTTCTGTCCTTGAGTTCCACATTA